TAATACTTGTTACTCGGGGGTTTTCGGGGTCGCTGATTACGAATATGATGTTAGTTTTTGAAAATTCAAATTGGCGGATCCAGTATGGCAGACGACTTTTTTAAAAAATCATGAGAATCGCCTGAAACTTGTTACTCGGGGGTTTTCGGGGTCGATGATTACGAATATGATGTTACTTTTTCAAAAATTGGAAATGGCGGTTCCGATACGGTTGGACAGTTTTCTATGAACCGTCGTATTCGCTTGAAACCACTAATATTTACTATTTGAATTGTTCTAGACATCACTTACTGTTTATTTATACGTATACCCAAGAATCACGTAATATAACCTCAATATCAAGGTAATATTACACGTGAGATTCGTAATATAACGCTGTAATATTACAGTGATCTTAAAATGTCCGCCTCAAGGTAATATTACCGGTAATGTTACTGTAATATTACGCGCTAATATTAAGGTAATATTACAGTAATATTGCAGTAATATTATACCGTAATATTAAGGTAAGAGAATATTACAGTAATATTATGGGAATATTTCTTTACGAAAAAAATCTACCCATCCAGGGAATCGAACCCCGAACTCAAAGCACACGAGTCCAGAGTTTTACCAACAAGCCAAATTGACTTATAATATATTTACGTTTTTTATGCTTTATGAATAACTCAAATTAGTCTCACAGGTGTCTGGAAAGTAAAAAAGTTTGCCTACGATGCCAAGAAAAATCATTGTTACCTGGTGGTTCCTTAGCACCCCCTGAAACGAGAAAACTTAACCCAAAAATCATAGCTGTTCATTTAGAGAAGTTTCACCTCTTTCAAGGGGTGATTTTAAAATATTTCCAAAAAAATTGTTTTTTAAGGGTCAGAAATAAGTTTTAAATTATGTTAATAATTTTTATTTATGTCAATGTGTTTGTAGGACCTCATTTTCTAGATACAAGCCATTAATATTTTTTTTATTAAAAAACCTAGAATTCGTAACTTTTATTTTATATAGGTGACGATTTTTAATAATTTAATTAACAGTGAATTTTAATTTTTTGGAAAGTTAAAAATGTGTATTTTCAATACAAAAAATATTGAAATGTCCTTTTTTGTTATTTTCGAGATATTAATTAATGAATTATTTAATGTTAATAAAAAATGCAATATTTTATAAACAAATAATGTTATCGTAATTTAGCGTTACCAATTGAAAGCTAACGTAATTCCGCATCCAACGAGACTAATATGAACTATTTTGAATTAGAGGGATTTTTATCAACAATTGCAATGTTGTTATGCGATTATTTATTAACAATCCACTAACCCAAAATTCTTCATATAGGGCTCGTTGGATGCGGAATTACGGTAGCTTTCAATTGGTAACGTCAGAATTACGATGACTTTATTTGTATATAAAATATTTTATCTTTTGTTAACGTTAAATAATTAATATCTCGAAAATAACAAACAAGGATATCTCAATATTTTTTGTAGTAAAAATACACATTTTTAACTTTTCAAAAAAATCAAAATTCACTGATTAAATTTTTCAAAAAATCCAACTCCTTCCGTCTCCTACAGGCAGTTTTTGAGAAAACCTAACAACACTTCGTGGTGGAATTTCGTCCTATAGATATAAATTCATTAACACGATTTATTTATTTACTAATTAAATCATCCAAAATCGTCACCTACATAAAAGAAAAGTTACGAATTCGAGTTCTTTTCTATTAAAAAATTTTTTAATCACTTGTACCTAGAAAATGAGATCTTTCAAACACACCCACATAAATAAAAATCATTAACATAATTTAAAACTTATCTCTGACCCTTAGAAAACAAATTTTTTGAAAAAATTTCGAAACTTCTCTAAATAAACAGCTACGATTTTCGGGTTAAGTTTTCTCGTTTCAGGAGGGGCTAAGGAACCACTAGGTAACAATGATTTTTCTTGGCATCGTAGGCAAACTTTTTTTTCTTTCCAAACACCTGTGGTCTGTAATATTATTGTAATATTACCGTTAATATTACTGTAATATTACCGTTAATATTACAGTAATATTCCCAGTAATATTACCTTGAGGCGGACATTTTAAGATCACTGTAAGATTACTGTAATATTACAGCGTTATATTACGAATCTTACGTGTAATATTACCTTGATATTGAGGTTATATTACGTGCTTCTTGGGTATACGTATAAATAAACAGTAAGTGATGTCTAGAACAATTCAAATAGTAAATATTAGTGGTTTCAAGCGAATACGACGGTTCATAGAAAACTGTCCAACCGTATCGGAACCGCCATTTCCAATTTTTGAAAAAGTAACATCATATTCGTAATCAGCGACCCCGAAAACCCCCGAGTAACAAGTTTCAGGCGATTCTCAAGATTTTTTAAAAAAGTCGTCTGCCATACTGGATCCGCCAATTTGAATTTTCAAAAACTAACATCATATTCGTAATCAGCGACCCCGAAAACCCCCGAGTAACAAATTTTAAGCGATTTTGGTTTATTTTTTAGATGTTACTTGACTGCATTTTAATTGTCGTGAATTATTGGAATTGCTTATTTAGGGGTAGTTTTTCATCCCTTTCCCTCAGGTTTGCAAGATTCTAATTATCATTTTCGGATTCAGCAGGGTTTAAACTATGGGAAACTACTCGTTTTTCATAATTCCCGCATGGGCAAATTTTGGTCATTTTTCAACACCGTTCTTTAAATTATTTATGTTTAGTTTAATACGTATTTATCTTATATATTAAGGTGTTTCGTGAATAAAAATCATTTTTTGACAGAAGTATAATTTTATTAAAAATGTAAATTTTTTTATCTTAATATAGTTAAAATTCTTTCACAAAATAAAGTAAGACACATTCGTAAAACTATACTTTTTGAATTTCTCTTTTATTAATAATGCCTGACACTATAGGTCTGTTAATTTTTAGCTGCTACTATAGAAAATTATTTTTGTACTTGAATATATTTCTAAAAAATTATAATTCGAATGTGATCCAATATGGATCTACAATTATTTTATGACATAATTATTGATATTTTGGAAACTGAAGTGGGTTATGTGAGAAATACATCGATGACTTACTCTTATCCCCATTGGTACACCAAGGAGATTATTTATCAAATTAAATTGAAAAATAAGTTCAGGAAAAAGTATAAGATTTCTGGTAATGCGTATTATCTTGAGGCTTACAAATATTACAGGATAAATATTAAAAGCCTAATTCACAAACAACATAAATTATATCTTAAAAAAATTGAATGTGATGTTATCAGCAATCCAAACTTTATATGGGCTCATGTAAACAGATCTAAGAAAACATTTAGAATTCCGGCTATTGTTTATTATAATGATCTAGAGATAACTAACCCGCAGTAAATTATTGATGCATTTACCACGTTGTTTATGAATGTTTATTATTGGTGATATTCCGTTGTCATATTTTTCGTCTACCCTTTCACTAAATCAACATGGTTTTGTACCTTGTCGTTCGACAACTACAAACTTATTAATTTTTTAAAATAAAATAGAGACTTTCCTTTAATATAATCAACAAGTTGATGTTGTTTTTACAGACATTTCTAAACCGTTTGACAGTGTTAGTCACGAAAACATCCTTAATGATTTAAAAGATCTTGGTGTACCAGATAAGATAGTTAAACTTATGTACTCATACCTAAGTGATAGAGTTATGATAGCCAATTATAATGAATAATCATCCTTTGAATTTGTACCAACCTCTGGAGTCCCACAAGGGTCCAACCTTGGACCTATGTTATTTGTCATTTATATAAACAAACTAGAATTAATATTGAGAAATGAAATTTTGTTTTACGATGACGATGCTAAATTGTTTAAACCTGTTAATTGTATTAAGGATTGTGAGGACCTACAGAGAGATTCTGATGGTTTCTGTGATTAGTATAATAATGACTCTCTTGACGTTAATTTCAATAAATGTAAGGTGATGACTTTTACTAGAAGAAAGGAGAAAATTGTCTTTCAATATAAAATTAGTAACATTTCTCTTGACAGAGGTTATGTAATTAATGATTTGGGAGTACATTTTACATCTAATCTTAATGTAGATCCGGATTTTAGCCTTTTTTATCATTTAAGATGCTTTAATACCTCCTTTACTAGATATTTATGACACATTTAAATAATTATTTACTAAATTGTATTAGCTTTGCGTATAGAATTTTCTAATGTAGTAGAAATTTTCTATAAGCAAAGTCCACCAAATTTCGGGCTCAATTACTTTAGCTAGCCATAAATATATCTAACATATAGTTAGGTAACAAAATTACCTTTTTTTAATTTTTCATAGTGGAGGACGGTTTAAATTTGTCAAAAAATGGCAGAAAAGTTTATTTTTATTGGTTTAAATTTCACTGGTGATTATGGTAAAATTTCTAACCCACATAGCACGACTGCTTGCTGTGAGGTTACTGTAAGGATATCTGTAGGGTTTGGATGGTTACCATGTAAGCCTACAGGAAACTTGAGGTCATCTTAAAACTTCCGCCATTACAATAAGCTTACACAGTAAAGCTAAGGTAAGCTTACACAGTAGGGTGGTGGTAAGTTTACATGATAAGGTTGTGGTAAGCTTACACGGTAAGGTTGTTGTAAGCTTCCCGTAAGGTTACTGTAAACGTAGAGTAATATGAAAATATATTAAAAATAATTGTATTATAAATTTTTTTTTATTTTTTTTTATTTGGTAAAGTACTTCATGAACCCTAATAGGGTTTGTTAAATAAAATTTACTGCGCAGCCTATTGTGCCTTAGAAAACTACTGCGCATAAAATCACATTCAAATTATAAAAATCTACTCATTAGAAAAATTTGGACGTTAAAGGGTTATTACACATGGAATGTCAAAATCACGTTGTTGAAGAAATCTTAATTACTTTGCAATGAATTAAAAAGCCCATTTATTTGAAAAATTACGTATAGTAAAAACATTACATTAAATAAATATACCTGAAAATAGCCATCGTGAGAAGAACAAATTACATAAACTGGAGTAACTCTCAATCTAGTTGTCCTCGATTCATGAATTAATGTAAATTTTGTTTTTATTACTCCAGCTTCCAACTCTAATTCGTTAACTCCTCTTGTTAGTTCTACAAGAACACGAAATTCTCCATTTCTAATTGGCCATTCTGTGTTCGTACTTTTACGTCCTCGAATCATAATAGAAGAGCATGAAACAGGCACATAGCCTCTAATTAAAACAAGGCTGTAGAAAACAGTTTCACCTTCGACAAAATTTTTGACCATGATTTCTTGATTATCGTTTTTTCTTAAGCATCGACCGTAGTAATTATGGTGTCGATAGTTATCCATTAATAAAGAGTCTGCTAAGACCTGTAGATAAAAAAATTAATAGTTTATTACTTTTAAAATATTGTGTAAATATTAATAGGACTTTCAATTAGATAAATAGTTCCATAGTCTTTTGACCAGAAATTAATAATAATAGGGAAAATGCGCTGGATGTGGGCACTTATACGTAATTTTGAACAGCAAGTAGATGTTGCTGATCTGAGTGCGGTCAAATGTGTATGTTGACAGTACACTGTTTTTGTATTAATACCGAAGCGAAACACAAATTTTCTTAGAAGCAGTGAGCATAATGACAATATCTTGAAAAAAATGAAGACTAATGTGATTTTCTACTTTTTTCCAAGTATGTTAAAAGTGAGTGAAATTTCTTTTGTGCAGTGTTTACATTATACTTTATGATTTAATTTCGAATTTGACCAAAATATCAGTACTCCATAAATTGTTGGATTCTCCATGGGTGCCAACAAACCGGGTACAATTTCTTTTCATTAAAAATGGTGACTTCATTAAATTTTTAATAAAATCTTCCTAGTTGAAGGAATTAATTTAGTTCCATTTTGGACAATTACATAAGGACTCTATACTCTGTTTCAGGAGAGATCGATATTTTTGAGGATGAATTTGTGCCCTTTACGCGCAGAAAACTAAAAAGGAGGCGTGTATTATTTTTTGATTTAGCAAATAAGCTTTCTCTTTAAATTTTTTTAAAATTTAATTGATTTTAGTCATAGGAAAAGCAACACATGTTACAATCGTTTTCATATAATTAGCTAAATTATTTTTAAAAAAATCTAGGAAGCGCCTTTTTCATTTAAAAGTACATCCTTTTACAACAAGATGAACAGAAAAATATCGATCTCTCCTGGAACAGAGTATAGATTGCCACTGATATGCACATGTCTCATAATATGCTATTAAATTTACTCTATTTAGCTTGTACAAGATATTGTACAAAAAATATACATAGGTCGACTTTCTTTGAAACCATATTTATTTTAAGAATGTTCATTTATACTTTATTAATATCTTTGAATCAATTTCTTAAGAAAAATTTAAATTAAAGAACTTAACTTTAATTGCATTACGTGATTAACACACTTAAATACGAAAAGAAAAATCAATTATAATAAAAATGTTTTAATAAAATAAAATTCAAGTGTCGCATGTTAAATTTTGCTTCGCCAAAAAAAATTGTAAAAACGGTTAGGACCAAAGTTTCTCGTAAAAATTTATTTTAAAAAATTCAAAATGGCGGTCCAATTTTTAAAAAAATTTAACATTCTCTTGAAAATAGTTACTCGGGGGTTTTTGGGGTCGCTGATGACAAATCTGATGATATTTTTTCAAAATTCAATATGGCGGAACCAATATGGTGAACATATTTTTTCAAATTTGACGTATTTGCTTGAAACCCGTTATTCAGGGGTTTTCAAGGTCGCTGATTACTAATCTAATATTAGTAAATTGTATTGATTTTTAATTTTTCTGTCCGCCATATTTGATCCGGCATTTAAAATTCTGAAAAATTAACATCAGATTTCAAATCAGGGACCCCGGAAACCCCCGTGTTTAGAATTATATTTAGTTTAACTTTAAGTGATCTTTAATTACATGAATGAAAATTTGGTTGCCTAAATTTATGGACTTTGTTGGTCCCAATTTCGTATTGAATCAGTCTATCGCTCACTGCGAATGTTGTCGCATACCATCTGAAAGAGATCATTTTTTTTAGTGTAAAACATTATTTATTTAATTTTTTGAAATATTTGTTAATTTTTAATTAACAATTAAACTCTGGATTTTATTGTCGTATAGTTTTGAAGTGCTATAAAATTCTATTCAAATCGATAATTGTCGTCATCAAAATGTGTTGATGTTTTTTCTTCGCTTAACATCAACACAGGTGTCCAAATATATGTGGATTCTTCGGTATATCATACTGTGCCTGTGTGTTATTACTTCTCGACTCGCACACCAGTATTCTCTGTGTACACCGCTAAAGGATGACAATTTGACGCTTATACTACTGTGGAGCCGCTTGACTACTGCTAATTGCTTTCACTCTCACTAATAGCCTGTCTGCACACACATCCATACAAGCAATACCACATCCGAGTGATAGACTGAAAATGATCTTCTACTACATCAAGGAGTACATTGAATTAATTTGAACACTCTACGCTTCAGTATCTACGATCATTACACCGGTTGAGATTCTTTTTACTATTATGTGAGTTCGTTCCATACCTTCGACTTGTCAGTTTTGTTTATTTTTTGACATATATGTAATGCGTATCATGGATTCTAAATTTAAATTTTTCAAATTTAATATTTCGAATTTTATATATTACATTTATTTGCGTGAAAGAATGAAGAACTTAATTTTCTAAATTTAAAATGAACATGAATTTATTTAAATTTTAAATTAGTTCGCGAATTAAGGTTTATGGAGACTCTTTTCAGATAATTTATTTTCTTTAAATTTTTTATGAAATTTTGCATTATCGGTTTGGAATATTATTGTAAGAGAGTGCGCCATATGCCTTTTATAATTTAATGATAAACTTATTAAAATATCCTTTATATTTTCAGTATATTATTAATATTGTGTTGCTGCTTCTTTTTTGAAATTAAATAAGTTTTACCAAATTTTTTTTCTAAGTTAGACCTTATTTACTGATAAAATGGCACCTCCTTCTGTAAATAGTCTTATTGCATCTCAAGTTAAAATTGTCGAATATTTTCAGAATGACTATCTGTCGGTAACTGAAGAACAGTATCTAACACAAAAGGGTATTTTTGTCAATAAATTAAAATCCTATCTGCCAGCTTCAACTCCTGGTACTTCGAATAATGAAGGTCCCAATTAGAATTCAGGAACCCCATTTGAAACTCAGATTTGGCACCACCTTTCTCGTATTGACATTCCTAAATTTTCAGGTGACTATCAAGTGTGGGCTAATTTTAGAGATTTGTTTAGATCCATGAGAATCCTTCTCTCATGGATACATTGAACGTATTCATTACCTCAAAAACGCTTTAATAGGTGACGAAGCATTGCTTTTACAGAATATTATTCCTACCGCTGATAATTTCGCCCGCGCTTGGGAAAGTCTAACAGAACAGTATCAAAACTTACGAATTTTTGTAAATGTTCAAATAGCTACCCTTTGTAAATTAAAATCTATGACAAAGAAATCGGTAAGTGAATTAAAGGCTCTTTTTAAACGGTACCAATGTCGCAATTGGCAACTTTAAGATCCTAAATCCTGCAGTTGATCAATGGGAGGACTGGTTGGTTTATATCACATCAAACTCTTATTTATGACCCGAACAAAGTAAAAGCTAGAACAACCGCCTCTACATCTCAAGGTAATATGGATACGTCTTCACATCCGGAATCAGAACCTTCTAAAAGCTTGGTTACTGGACACATTATTGACACTTCGGTAACCAAACATACTCCTATGCTCCTAGGCACTGCTATGGTTCGAATCTCATCAAAGGTTGAAGTTTCTACCCTAGCTAGATCCATGCGCAGAATGCAACTTCATCTCAGAATCTCTTACTCAACGTTTAAAGCTACCTAGAAAATCTTCCAATTTAAGCATTTCAGGGATAGGAGCAACTCCGTCTGGAAATTCGAAAGGTTCTGTAGTTTTTGTAGTTTCGCCTTGACAGTTTAGTTCGTCCTTTAAACTTCAAGTTACTGCGCTAGTACTAACGCGGTTGACAGAATATCTTCCACCCACCTATCCTCTTTCAGATAGTTGGCATCAACTCAGTGATTTTAAATTGGATGATCCGAACTTGAATTTATGACAACCTATTGAGTTATTGCTTGGATGTAAAGCTTACGCCATTATGTTACGTCCAGGACTTAAAACTGGCTCTCACACTCCGATTATTGCTCAACAGACAGAATCCGTCTACTGAAACTACAATCCCGACCCACACTGCCGTTAGCCTGCCTTGTATAGTTCAAAACAAGCTGCCTCAGCTACTTTAACAATTCTGGGAACAAGAGGGAGTTGCGCAATCATCCAAGCCTTTCTCAACAGACGAAAAACAAGACTTTAAGCTTTACGTACCCTGAATGGCATGGAGCGTAGGTTTGAAAAGTATCTTTCGCTATTTAAGGATTACAATAAGTTTTTAGTTGCGTATTTTGATCTTAAGCATATAGAGCGAGTCCCTAACATTTCCGATGACAAAACGTGCCACTACTTTCCACATCATGGCGAAGTTTAAGAGAGCAGCACAAATTGCGTGTAGTGTTTAATGGTTCTCAACGTTCTTCCACAGGAGTTTCATTGAATGAACTCCTACATACAGGACAAAAACTCCAAACCGATATGTCAGAAATACTTCTTCGTTGGCGTATCTTTCGAATTGTTTTCTCGGCGGACATTGAAAAAATGTTTCGCCAAATTCTAATACACCTCGATGACAGGGATTTTCAAAGGATTCTATGGAGAACATCCCCTATGGACATTCCCCACACGTTCAAACTCTTAACAGTCACTTACGGGTTGGCAAGTTCACTGTACTTGGCCATTCGCGTTCTCAAACAGATCGTTAGAGACAAAGCTGTCCGCCTCCCGAAAGCAGCCGCATCGCTATTAGAAAAAATTTACGTCGACGATCACTTTAACGGTTCTGACGACATGGATACTGCACTCCCACTGTGCAAAGTTACAGAACAGTTGTGTAACTGTTCTATAACAAAAAAGAACAAGTTATAGAACTGGTGAGGAACAGTTTAGTAATAATGTCGTCCCCATGGAGGCACAAAACAGTAACAGGATCTGTAACAATTCTAGAATGTTCTAGATCATTGTTCTAGAACGAATATGTAACAAAATAAATTTTTTAAAATTTTAATTCTATAACAATTCTGTAACCGATCTGTAACAAGATTCTAGAGTTATAGAACTTTTTTTGTTTCAGTTTAATAAAAGTAAAATTGAGATTTGTAATTTGTAGTTTATTTCATTACAATTTCCCTGACTTAAAAAAAG